TTTGGGACTACGAAAATCGAAATATCATCAAAAGCAGAGATTTCATTTTCAATGAGAATGTGATGTACAAAGACAGGTCAACTGTAGAATCAAGTAGCTCCAATACCGAAGCTGAAACAAAGGAATTTGCTGAGTTCGAGGAGATTTCTAGAAATGATGTTCAGATCAATCCTGAAGCAGTTCAAGAAGAACCAGGCACACCAGAATTGAGACGCTCCTCCAGAATTCCTAAACCAACCCAACGGTATTCTCCTTCTTTGCACTACTTATTGCTGACTGACAATGGTAAACCAGAGTGTTATGATGAAGCAATGCAAGTGGACGATTCAGTCAAGTGGGAGTCTTCCATGAAAGATGAGATGGACTCGCTTATGTCAAATCAGACGTGAGAATTAGCTGAATTACCACCAGGCAAGAAAGCGCTCCACAACAAGTGGATTTACAGGAATGGGAGCAAACGCTACAAAGAGAGATTGGTTGTCAAAGGTTTTCAACAAAAAGAAGGTATTGACTACAATTAAATTTTCTCTCCAGTCGTGAAGTGTCTACAATCAGTCTGGTATTGAAAATTGTAGCTGCAGAGAATTTACATCTCGAGCAGTTAGATGTAAAGACAGCTTTCCTTCATGGTGATTTGGAGGAAGAAATCTTTATGAGGCATCCAGAAGGCTTCATAGAGGCAGGCAAGAAAAACCTGGTATGCAGGTTGAAAAAGAGCTTGTATGGTTTAAAACAAGCTCCTAGACAGTGGTACAAGAAGTTCGATAGCTTCATGGGTAGTAGTGGTTTTACCAGATGCCAAGCAGATCATTGTTGCTACATTAAGAGGTTCGATAATAGTTTCATTATTTTATTATTATACGTTGATGACATGCTCGTTGCAGGCTCAAATATGCAAGAGATTATACGCTTGAAGCAAAAATTGTCGAAGCAGTTTGCTATGAAGGATCTGGGCGCTGCAAAGTAGATTCTTGGGATGAGGATCAAGAGAGACACAAAGTCGGGGACTTTGATGTTATCACAGACTGAGTACATTAACAAAGTACTCTCCAGGTTCAACATGCAAGATGCTAAACCAGTAAGTACACCTTTAGGTGTTCATTTTAGACTCTCCAAAGAACAGTCACCAAAGACGGAGAAAGAACGTGCACACATGGTGAAGGTGTCGTATGCCTCAATAATTGAAAGTCTAATGTATGTCATGGTTTGTACCAGACCAGATATTGCTCAAGCAGTGAGAGCTGTTAGCAAGTACATGAATAATCCGGGCAAGGTACACTGGGAAGCAGTCAAATGGATCCTCAGATATCTGCGGGGTACTACAAACAAAGCACTTTGTTTCAAAGGTGTAGATAAGATACTGACAGGCTATGTAGATGCTGACTTAGCCGAAATATTGACATCATAAGGAGCACTACATGGTATGTCTATACTCTATGAGGAACTGCAGTGAATTGGGTTTCTCAACTACAGAAGATAGTTGCTCTCTCCACAACTGAAGCAGAATATGCCGTTGTTATGGAAGCTAGCAATGAGATGGTTTGGCTCCAAAGTTTCTTGGAAGAGTTAGGCAAGAAACAAGAAAACAATGTCTTGTATTGCAACAGTCAAAGTGCTATCCATCTAGCAAAGAATCCGTCTTTTCATTCCAGGACGAAGCACATACAATTGAGATATCATTTTATCTGATCTCTTTTGGAAGATGGGATTTTGAAACTTGAAAAGATTAGTGGAGCTCAAAATCCGGCAGACATGTTGACAAAGACGGTGACTACGGACAAACTGAAGTTGTGTTCAGCTTCAATTGGCATGCTATAATAACAAAACTAGAAATACTGTTGCATTGATCGAGGTGTGAAGACAGATTAAAATCAGTCTTCAAGTGGTAAATTGTTAAAAGTTAGTTTTCAAAGTTTGGTAAAGTTTGGTAGATGTTTGTTGAAAATATGAATGAGTAAATTCACTTTAGTCATTGCACTTTAGGGTATTTTCAAAGATTAGTCCCTAAGTTTCAACTATAAATACCCTAGCTCATTTAGCTTCAATATCATCCCAAATCCCAAATCATTTCTCTCCCAATACTAGAGAGTTTCTTGTGAGTAGTGAGTGTTTGGTAAGCACCTGTAAATTTTCTCTCTTAGTAAAAGATCTGCAGTAGTCCGGAGATGTAAGCACAATTGGCTGAACTCCGTTATCAATTTTTGGGTATTATTTTTCCGCTTTTATTCCGTATTCTTACTAATCTGGTTATAGGGAAATTACTTGTTTACTCGTTTATTACCCAACAAAGCCTTACCTTTAGAACCGGGGAATTTGCAAGCACTGTAGCATCCACGGGAACACCACCCATTGATTCATCATCATTCATATTATCACATATTGGGGAATTTGCAAGCACCGTAGCATCCATGGGAACACCACCCATTGATTCATCATCATTCATATTATCACATATTGGGGCGAGACTCCCTATATGGTCCATATCCATTTTCCTAGAATGATCAACATCATTCGTCTCAACATTATTCTTGCTTTTCTTTGACTCACGTTGGATGTCTAGACCAAGAGGGGAACATGATCTTTCTAACGCCAAAGAGCTTTCTAAGCTTGGAAAGATTTCTTGTGATCGGTTGCCGGGTCTTTCGTAAGGAAGAGTTGACCAATTGGCGGCACAATAGGGCTTTCATAAATATCAAATTTATACATTAACGTCTCATGTAATACATAAATTTTGATTTGATATGTTTATGTTGATAAAATTCTGATTTTTATTTAATTGTACACATAAAAAAAAAATTTACTTCAATTTTTTTATTTTAAAGTACATGCATTTGTATCTCAGGGGTAAGGGTGTGCAAAATATCTACTCCGACCAATCCGATCCGTTGATTTGATCTAAGAATTTAAATATCCAATCCGTTTTTAATTTTCAGATAATTCAGATCAAATATTCAAAAAATCAGATAATCAGATCGAATACGGATCAATGAAATTTCAGTTTCAAATTATTTGAAAAAACTAAAAAAATATTTGGGCTTTTATATGATTTTTTCAGGCCCACTTCAACCCCGACCCTCAGCCCCAGCCCCCTCCAGTCCTTACCCCAACCCCACACCCCCAGCCCCAGCACCTTTGCCCAGTCAGCTTAATTTTTTTAATTTTTTTCAACTTTTAAATTATTTATTTTCAAGCTTTTAAATGAGATATTAAGTGTTTATTTTATAATTATTCAAGTATATTTTGATAAATATATAGTAGAGGTATAAAATATATTGTATAAAGTTATAAATTATTAATTTTATTTGTCAAATTAAAGTTTATATTCCGATCGGATACAGATCGTAGTTTTAGTGATATGAAATTTTTGAATATCCAAAATTTCGAATCATATAATATTTGTATCTAAAAATGCACCCTCCTAGTCAGGGGTATATGCCTTCATTGTCAAAGAGTTGAAAGTCTTTGAACAAATATTATCTTATATTTACTCTAGATTTATTAAAAAAATACATGTATCCATATATTTTTGTATTGAATTAATATAATTATTTGTATTTATAATATGTAAATGTAAGATGATGCTATTATTGACTACTTTAGAAATTCATAAAAAAATTGAAGTAAATTAAAATTTTGTATTTTTAAGCACAAAATCGAAATTTATATATACAAATACACATTTAACAAAAGTTGAGGTACAATTTTGAGAAGGGTAAATTACACTTTTTAGTATCTAAACTATTAATTTTATTTTATTTTAATACCTAAAATTTTTGTTTGTTTTAAAATCATACCTAACATTTACTTTTTGTTTTATTTTTGTACTTGCCATTATAAATTTAGCATAACTATTACAACATAACACTTTTTATGGGTAAATTACATCATTCATCACTCAATTATCCTTTCACTCCTATTTTGGTCACTAGAATTTATTTTTTTCTAATTTAATTACTTAACTTTCAAATTACTCCTAATTCAATCATTTTAACTTTAAAATTTATTTTTTATTTTAATTATATATTAATAAAACAATAAAATAAGATGTCATGTCACAAAAATTATTAAGAAAATAAATTAGATTGATTAAAACATGAATAATTTGATAGTTGAGTAGTTAAATTAAAAAAAATTAAACATTAGTGATCGAAATAAGAGTGAGAAGATAGTTATGTGATGAAGTAATTTACCTATAAAAACGTCATGTGCAGTAGTTCCATTAAATTTTTAACGGCGGGTACTAAAATGAAATAAAAAATAAATGTTAGGTATAGTTTTGAAACAAATAGAAGTTTTAATACTAAAATGAAATAAAATTGATAGTTTAGGTACTAAACGTGTAGTTTACCGTTTTGAGAATTATTTGATAAGAGTAAGATGCTTATTTAGTACTTAAACTATCAGTTTTGATCCATTTTAGTACCTAAACTTTTATTTTTTTCAATAGCATACATAAAGTTTAATTTTTATTTCATTTTAGTACAAAAATTTAAGTATTTAAAAATTTAAAAGTTTAAGTATCAAAACACGTTTAGTACCTAAACTATACTTAAGTTTTGAAAAAAAATGAAAGTTCAGGTACTAAAACGAACCAAAATTGATAGTTTAGGTACTAAACACGTTAATTTTTTAACTATAAAATACTAAAATGAAGTAAAAACTAAACGTTAGGTATGATTTTGAAAAATTGAAAGTTTAGATATTAAAATGGATTAAAATTGATAGTTTAGGTACTAAATGCGTAATTTACCCTTAAAATAAATGTGAAAATCAAAAACATCAAAAAGCGCGGGAAAATTGATTATTTCTTTTGATAAAAAGGAATAAAATCATCTCACGTTTTCTTTGGACGAGAAATTGAAGGGTATAACTGCAATAAATAGCAAAATTGAAGGGCAATTGATGAAAAGAACGTGTGTAGATTCAATCTAAAGCTAAGGAAAGTGCTCTAAATCAAATACAAACAAAATCATTTTCTCCATTTATTTTTCTTTCACTGGTAATTTCATTTCTGATTTTAAAAGAAAATACTCTCTTTTCTCAGATTCTCTTTCGTGGTAACCAAACAGGTTTTGTAGCTCTGGCTCGGAGGTAATCTTTTCTTATCGACTGATTAATCATCACCGTGTTTTCTCTTTTGATTACTTGAGCTTCAGTTTTGGTGAAAGCCTTTGTTCTTGTTTGTTTTTGTTGAATTAATAGTTGAATTTTAGTTGGATTATCCCTTATTTGTTTTTGTTTTTCTCTGTTGTTGTTTTTTATGATTTTGTAGGATAACTTTATTTTCCAGTCACTCGTTTTCTTAAACATGAAAATCAACTTAGATCTTTTTTTTAAATCTCGTTGAAATTTCTATTGTATTCTGTATATGGATTTCCAAATATCTTCATATTTTTTGTTTTTTTTTTTCTAATGATTTGAGATTGTGAATTTGAATTGACTCATGAAATTCTTCTTCGACTTTTCAAAAATTTCCAGATTTTTCTTCTTTTAAATTTAGTATATTACTCTTTTAATTTGAACTATAAAAAGTATGTTTGCTTCTGTAGAAACTTAGCAAAGCTTCATAAGCAAGACTGAGAAAACAAGGTGAATATGAGGTGTCAGGTGAATAATTCCAAATACAACTGTTTAGTTTTTTTTATTATTAAGTGTAAAAGTTTTTGTTGCTTACTGTTATTTTGTTTTATTTTTGCTCATTTTGTACCATAAAAAGCTTTTGAGTAATTGATTTATAATTGACTGGGGATTGCCTTATGTTTTATGAAACGGGAAAAAGAAAAAAAGGGAAGAACAGCTGATTATTTTCGATTAGGTAAATTTCCAATCGGCGACGATGGTGACGTATTTTAGCCCTTTATTCCTTGTAATAATCTAATCAAAACCATTAGTAATTTTTATAATGCTTAGAAATTATCTAGTAACTCTATGGATTTGATTACGTGGACCCATAGTTCTTCAATCATGCTCATGGAACTTTTCAATCAAATAAATTATCTGATTAATTCTATACATCAGTTGATTAGATCCCAAGTTTCCAACTTAACCAATTAATTTCAAAATATTGTTGCTTTTATATTGTCATTTCTGGATCGATTGTAAACAGAAAGGAAGGAAGAAAGAATGAAATTGGGGTTTGATATAGGCTTATTCTAGAAATAGGTACATAAAGTATATCATATTTTTCATCTAGGCATCTACAATATTTTTTTAGTCAAAGTAGGTACATAAAGTATATCACCTTTTTGTCTAGGTACCTAAAGTATTTTTCAATCAAGGTAAGTACCTAAAGTATATCATTCTTTTATCTAAAGTGGACCATGGTATTGATAAAAAAATACTTACGATACCTCGATGAAAAGTTTGTATATAAGTACCTATTTTAACTAAAAATTACTTTAGGTATCTAGATGAAAAATGTCGTATACTCTAGGTACCTAGATGAAAAATGTGATATACTTTAGGAACTTATTTTTTAATTAAGCCTTTGATATATATTAATAGTTTCTTCCTGCTCAGAAAATAGTACAGTAAAACATTTTCTTTTAGGGTGGTTAGTTTGTTTCACTGGTTGTCTGTGGTAATGGGAGTAAATAATGAAATTGTTACACACGATGTGATTATAGTATATAGGAAAAAAAACAATTAAAACACAATGTAAATAATATATGAATTGAATACATCAATTTCAAAATTTATATAAATATGAATTATTAAAATATCAAAACTTGTACAAATATATATGAATACAGCAATTTCCATCAATATATGGTAGTGGCTCTGGGACCACTGTATCTATAGATTCTATATAGCTTTGTGGGAGACGTTCATGAATCAACATTTATTGAAACTTAATGCTCACTTGCTCATTAGGTGCGAAAAGTTGGGAAAATGTTACGCATTAAATATTGGTAGATTTTCATTTTGGTGATCTTTCTGGATTTTTTGGAATTAAATTGGAATCTGCATGATGGAAAAACTCAGTTGGATCGTTGCAATACTTTTATTTTCATTTTAAAGCAAACTGATCTATCAGAAACCACTATAGTTTTCTGTTTAAGAAGATTTCCTACATATTTTTCTTTACGAGTTTGTAGCATTTTGCTTTTGAGAGTCTTCTCTATCAGTTAACAAGGGCCTCTCTCCAAGCAATACCCTGAATTGGTCATCTGTTGGTTGGTTATTATAAAACCAGGGTACTTGGTTTAAATTACTTTAATTAAGTATTGAATTGGATGTTTAGTAGTTTAGAGTTCTCATGACATGATATGTTTGCGATTTCCGCAATCAATCTGCTCATGTTAGGAGTTATCTTGTATACTTTCTGGTTCATTGATCATTGTTAACCTTAGTTCTGTTTTTCAGATTTATTTTCGTGATGGGGATTTGCCTTGTCGTCGCACACAGTTGCTGAGCAAAATTAGTTTGTGATCTGTCTTAAGAGATGACAAAGCATCGTTTTCGAGAGTCTATAAAGTCATTCTTTGGGAATCATGTTGATCCAGAAAAGGATGAGCAGCTTAAAGGAAGTAAAATAGGTAAATTTCTATATTTTTAATTGTATCTTTTGAGAGCAATTTTGCATTTTAATGATAACTTCCATTCATGGATTTTTCCAGTTCTGCTACTTCTTAGTTTTGTTTTAATTTCAAGTCTATATATTCTGTTGGCAGAAATTGATAACAAGGTGACAAAAATATTGAAGCTCGTCAAAGATGAAGAAAATGACTCCACGAAGGAACCACTTGTTGAGTTAATTGAGGATTTCCACAAACATTATCAAAGTCTTTATGAGCAATATGATCATCTCACGGGAGAGCTGAGAAGAAAAGTTCATGGAAAACGAGAAAAAGATGCCTCGTCCTCATCAAGTTCAGATTCAGACTCCGATCATTCTTCGGAAAACAGAGGCAGTAAAAATGGACAAGTGGAAAGTGAATCTTGGAAAATGGCAGACAGCATTAAACAAGAACTCGAAGCAGCGAATCTGGAAATTGCCAATCTTAAGAGGAAGCTGACGACTACGAGTGAAGAAAAAGATGCTTTGAATTCTGGTTATCTAGCCTCTTTAAGCAAGGTGCGAGAAGCGGAGGAAATCATAAAATGTCTGAAGCTTGAATCTGAAAGAGCAGAGAACAAAATAACACAAGTTCTGGTCGAGAATGAAGAACTGAGGCATAAACTGGACACTGCTGCAAAGTTGGAAGCTGAGGTGAATCAAAGATTGGAAGATCTCAACCGAGAAAATGATAACTTAATTCTCGAGAAAGAGTCTTCTTCTAAAAGAATTGAAGATGGTGAGAAGTTTACAGAAGATCTTAGAAGAGAAGTTGATCAGCTGAAAGAGGAAAATATAACCTTAAAGCAAGAGCTAGAAAGTGCTAGGGGCGAGGTTTCCAACTTGCAACCAAAGCTAGAATCTGCAGAAAACCAAGTTACAGAATTGAGATACAGTCTTAATGCTACTGTAGAAGAGAATAAATCTCTCCACTCAAAACTTTCCGAGGCTTTGAATGAGGTTCAGCAGGCACAGGACAAAATACAAGAACTCATGACTGGAATGAGTCAGTCAAAAGATGAACTAGTTGAGAAAGAAAGAGAAGTTTCAACTCTAAAAGAGTTACATGAGACGCATGTTAATCAATCATCTGCTCAGATAAAAGGACTAGAGGGACATGTGGCAAGCTTGGAACTTGAGTTGGAGATGTTGCAAGCAGCAAGCAGAGATATGGCGGTGCAGATAGAGAACAAAGCAAATGAAGCAGAACATCTGGGAGAACAAAATATAGGACTCCAATCCAGAATTTCAGTACTTGAGATGATGTCAAAAAAGAGAGAAGAAGAGCTTTTGACTCTCAAAAAGAAACTCGAGGATGATCAGAAATTGGAGCTAGAAAGTCAAATTAATGATCAACAGAGAATGCTAGAGGAACAGGGAGAGGCATATAAGAAGTTGACCGAGGAATGCCAACAGGTTGAGTGCAAGGAAAATCTTGAAGTTGCAGAAAGGAAGATGCAAGAAATGTCGGAAGAATTTGAATCTAAAAGTCAGATGGCAGCTGATCTGAAGCGAATGGTCGAGGGCCTTCAAAGGGATTTGGAAGCAGAGAGAGATGAGAAAAATGATTTAGTGAACCAGATTACAGATCATCAGATAATTCTGAAAGAACAAGAAGAAGCATTTAACAAGCTATGCGAGGAGTACAAACAACTCGAAGCTTCATTTAAAGACTGCAAGGCAATTATCGAAGTCACAGAAATGAAAATGCAAGAAATGGCCGGAGAGCATGATAAGAGTGTTCAATGCAAGGACCAAACAGTAGCTGATTTGGAGCAAACTATCGAAGACTTGAGGCGGGATTTAGAAATGAAAGTAGACGAGCTCAGTACTTTCACCGAAAACGTCCGCACAATTGAAGTTAAGCTCCGTTTGTCAAACCAAAAACTTCGAGTCACAGAACAGTTACTAACAGAGAAAGAAGAGAGCTTCAGAAAAGCAGAAGCCAAGTTCCTGGAAGAACAAAGAATGCTTGAAGAAAGGATCACGACATTGTCTGGAATAATTGCTGCAAACAAGGAAGTCTATCACAGAATGATCACCGATATCTCAGAGAATGTGAATAATACCTTGACTGGATTTGAAGCTGTCATCCAGAAACTCGAAGAAGGCTATAGAAAGTATGAGCATTGTCTCGAAGAAACATCAAAAGAGCTCAAGATTGCTAAGCATTGGGGTCAAGAAACAAAAAGAGAGAAAAAGCAGCTTATAAATGAAGTGACTAATTTGATTGAGCAGTTGAAAGATCAGAAAGAACAAGGATCTACATTACGAGAAAGAGTCGAGAAGCTACAGATTAAGGCGAACAAGGAAGAAGGGGAGAAGGAGAATCTGCTGAAAACCGTGAAGCAACTGGAGAATAAGGTTGAGTTCTTGGAAAGGGCAATGAAAGAGAAGGATCAAGGTATATTAGGTCTAGGAGAGGAGAAGAGGGAGGCCATTAGGCAACTCTGCATTTGGATCGATTATCACCGCAGCCGTTGCGATGACCTGAAGGAAACCGCCCGAGTACAAAGGGCAGCGTAGAGTAAGCTGCTTATATCTTTCATTACATTGTCACGTTCTTTCTGGTTTTGCATTTGTGGATTGTTTTCCATTGTTTAATTTTTTGAAAACTCTCAAGTTGGCTGTTGATATTAGAAATACATTTTCAGGTGATGTCCGGAGAACATGTCTGATAAAACATCCTTTTTTTTATATCATATGAAGAAACATGTCTCATAAACTTTGTTGCCTCTAAAGATCGAATGACCACTATTAGATTTTTCTCATCATAGTAAATGGTCTTTCTAGATTGTTTTATGTACTAGCAGTAACGGATCTAGAAATATTTTTGAGAAATGAAAAAAAAAATCATATGAGACGAACACAAATAAAATTTTAGAATAGATGCAATAAAATGAAATATTAATATAAAAATATTCGAATTTTAAGATGGATTTTCTAGGCAAAGCCTTGCATCTGCAACTGTGTACAAGTAGGTGGAATCTTACATGGGTGTGTCATGTGTGACATAAAAGGTTATGACATGCTTCACGGTTTTTTAATTAATTTTTTAACTGTATTCTAAATGGCATATGATTCCTTTCAAGTTTGATTGTTTTTTTTTTTTTATAAATATTCTTTCAAGTGTGTTTAGAGTGATGGATCGAGAGTGAGGTGAATAAATTTTGGGTAAACAATCACTGAAATATTATTTACTTCCATTTTGACTGTTAACTTTTAATTTTGTCAATAAAATCACTTAATTATTTAAATATCAATTAAGTTATTTATTGTTAATATATAATGAAATTGATAACATGACAAGAAAATTGATATAATTATACATTTAATATTCATTATTTATACCCATTAAATTAGTCATAATTTAAAATTAATTTAACATATTTAATCATTCAATTATATGATGACATACGTTATAGCATGATTGGAGGGTTTTTTCTAAATTTAATTTATATTTAAATAAAGAAAATTGGAGGGGTTTCAACCTGAGTCTCCAGGATTATGAGGCGTGTTTTTACCAATACAGCAACAATCATATCTCGTTCAAGTCTTACAATATGCATTATTTATCTTGTATTATAATAAAAACAAAAGTAACAATTAAAGAAACTGAACTTTGATTTCTTAGAGAATATATAAGCACTAAAATTATTGAAGCAAATTTAACTATTGTTTTATATTAAGCAATTTCTATAGTAGATAATTAAAAGCTCTCAAATGACACTTTTCATCTCACTTATGTTGTGAGTTTAATACCCATTAGAAGTAAAATTCCTTTTCTTCCTCCCCTAGATTAGGTATTGTTCAAAACAAATTAGGGTAAAGTATACACATGGTCCTCGACTATGAGGACTCTCCATTTACGTTATACTATTGAGACAGTACTTAAAACTCTCCTAATGATTATGGTGTATACATTAAAATTTAATTTTATTGTATCTCAGTTAGAAGGTTAACGTTCAACTTAGACTATCGTCAAATTTCTAACGAAAAAATACAAATTTGTAATATATAAATAGTCAATGATTATTTTATAATTTATAATAATCGGGGACCTCAACAAACAATGTCTATAATCGAATGTCATTTTATAATTTTTAATAGTATGAGATTCATTAAAATAGTATCCCGAAACTCAACAAAGCAGGGAACTATTTACGTAATTTACCCATAAAATTAATGAAAAAAAAACGAATCAAAATTGATAATTCTTGTGGTTTACCCTTTTCCGAAACTGAGTGAAATTCCAGTTCTCCAAAGGATGAGTTCAGTATTCTTTGAAACAAGAAATGTCAATCTTCTTCAAACTAAATAAAGCAAGGATTTTGCTTTTCCATGGCAGCCTTTTTCTCCTACAAAACTGTCATAGAAACTACTACACGTTATCGTCTTGGGCCCCTTGTTCCAACGACTGACCCAGCAATGAAACAACAGCAGATTGTGACTTTTTGTATTATTTTTCCCTCCAAATTCCAGTCATACTCATAGATTTCTTGACTTTTAAACACTTAAGTCGTCTCGTCTCTCAAACACAAGTTTCCTTCATTTTCTTTTGGTATAGTTTCATGGAGTCTCTTGATCTTTGATATTAATGGCTGAAGAATCAAAAGCTCGTTTAGTTCGTTGCCCAAAGTGTGATAGTCTTATAAAGGAGCTTCCCCAGTATTCTTTATACAAGTGTGGCTCTTGTGGTGCTGCTCTTCGAGGTTATAACTCTCCCTTTTCATTGTATTCTTGTTCTGTCGGTTCCTATATATGTATATATTGTAATTATCTGAGAGATTTTGCTGGTTTTCTTTGTGAATATAGCAAAGAAGAAAGATGAGCATGGAAGTGGGGTTAGCGTGAAGGGTAAAAATAGGAGAAAAGAGAGGATTTTTGGAGAAAAAACTATTGTTTCATCGAGAACAGATAAGGCTAATGGCTTCCTTGATGATGATAAAAATTTTAGGCTTGATCATGATAGAACCGAGAAAAGAGATGGATATGTTGATGATTGTTGGGCTCATCAATTCCATGGTCATCATCATGACATCAACATCAGCAGGTCTAAGTCTGTTAGTTCGAGTAGGGAGAGCGATTTCGGGGTCTACTCGCCGAGATTAGATCATTTGACTAGGTCCTTGAGGCTCAAGGGTGTTGAATCTGTTGATAGAGATGAATTTAGAGGGCTTTATAAGAGGAGCCTGGAAACAATAGATGAGGGACCTTCAACTTATGGGGATGTTCCTGCCTATGGCTACCATAAACCAGTTAAGAGCTTTGTGTACCTAGATGGACCTAATGGGGTTCGAAATTTCGACAGGGATCGAACTCTGCTGCTTAAGAAGCTGGATGAGTTGAAGGATCAACTGAGTAGATCTCTTGATATGCCTCAGAGGCCTAGGGAATTGGTTCCTGGTGGTGACAAGATGGCTTCTAATGATCATTTGGGTGGTTCTATAGGAATGTTTCCGGCTCATACTCGGTCTGCACGATATCTTAATGTTTCGAAGTTGACATATATGAATCATAATTCCATGAATGATGATGAACATATGCAGAACTTCTATGGAAACTTCCATTCAGTTTCAAAGCATGGTCATCGTGAGACTCATGGAGATTATCTATCTCCAGGCATGAATAGAAGACCTCATAATCAAGCAACACATCAACACCCTCAGCAAAGGACTTTTGGCTACTCTTCAGCAAAGTATCTGAATCAGGAGGGAGCCTTGCATAACCTCCCTGCATGTTCATGTTTATATTGCTATGACGAAAACCGTAAAGGCCCTTTGCGAGTTCAACCTGCTGGTTTTGGCAATAGAAGGTCTTTGAAAGACCCTTGCAGTTCTACTTTCAACCACTATGTGAGTTCTAATAGAGTTGGGCAACACTATCCACCTAGACCACAGCCAAAATTTGAAGATCCACCAGTGCACTTATGGCCAAGTGAGATCGATTCAGATACTGATGGTTTTGGTGGACGACGACGTCCTAGAAGGGTCATGCTAACCAGAAGGAGTAAGCGGCTTTGTCAACCTGTAGCCAGTGGTGCTCCATTTATTACATGCTATAATTGCTTGGAGCTGTTAAGGCTGCCCAGAAAATTCAGGAAAATGATGAACAATGAGCAGAGATTACAATGTGGTGCTTGCTCCACCGTGATTGTGTTTGAAATGGAGAAAAAGAGACTGGTTATTTCCATTCCCGGAAATCCCAATCGAACACCAACCGATGCCAAAGCAACATCTACCGATGAGTTAGTGACTGAAAACCACCCAAGTTCTCATGGATGTTTTAATTCTGGTGGCACCATCCAACAATCTTCAAAGGAAGATCAGAGCCTTGATAATGTTATTGTTTGCAGAGATTCTCCTGGATCTTTTGATCTGCTCTTTAGTTCCGATATTTCCGCTACCGTTTCAAGTTTACCTTTTCAAGAGCTGGCTAAGAATCCATCATCTAATGGAACAGTCAGTGAACATAGGGATAGGACTAAACCAGAACATCAAGAGAAGGTTATCCTATTGAACAATGCTTCTCAAGGTGTTTCGGGGGGGAATTCATCGCTGGTGACAACCAAGGCAGGGGTTTCTTTCAATGGATATAGGAGTTCAAGTTCATCTCGAGACTCTTTGGAAGCAAGCAAAGAGCATAGCCAACTGAAACTCCACAAGGGGAGCAAATCAATTTTAGTAGGCCTTATAAAGAAAAGCTTTAGAGATTTCTCAAAATCTAACGATAACATCAGAGACAAACGGCCTAATGTTTCGGTGAACAGACAGCCTATATCTGACTATGCAGTTAGGGAGGCTGAAAAGCAAGCTGGGCCAATTCATCCGGGAAATTACTGGTAACTCATGAGTCATTCATTTCTTTCTAAGCATGCATCAGTTGAGCAATATCAGACTCCTAGAATATAACATACATGTTTTAAACTCAAGAATTGAATCATTTGCTCTTCTTCGTGTGAGGTAGTAATGATATTTCTTTTAATCTGGCTTTGAAAGGTATGATTCTCGAGCCGGATTCTGGGGTGTAATGGGCCAACCATGCTCTGGCATAATTCCTGTGAGATCAATTGATTCTTAGTTAAAACTTTTATTGCAGACAGAACGTTGTTCATGCTAAGGTCTTGATGTTTCTGGGTTTTTTATGTTGCAGCCGTTCATCGAAGAATTCAATTACCCCATGCCGAAAAACTGTGCTGCTGGAAACACAGGTGTCTTTATAAATGGGAGAGAACTGCATCAGAAGGACTTGGAACTACTAGCTTGCAAAGGGTTTCCAACTGCAAGAGATAAAAGCTATATTATCGAGTTCTCGGGTCGAGTTTTCGACCAAGACTCCGGCATAGAATTATACACTCTTGGCAAACTGGCCCCAACGTAAGTCCTACACTATCTTTTTTCATTGTTTGTCACCCCAGTATAGGATACTTATATTGAAGGCATTGCCACTAGAAGCCATGTTTGAGGGTCCAATCTTGTGGAAAAGAAATGATTGTCACTTTGTTTTTGCTTGGCCTTTTCCTTTACTCAAAGCTTTATAGATTGTTTCTAACTGATACTAAACCATCGATGATCGGATAACAGAGTCGAGAAAGAGATGATCGGCTTTGGCATGCGAGTCCCCCGTGCGGTCGAGTGATTGAAGATCGAGTAGCTCGATAGATTTCATGAACTTATTGGAAGCAGCTCAAACAGCCTGTCGTGATGATGAATTGCATTCATCCCTGCATTGTATTTGTGACATTAAGTGTGTGTATATGTGAGGCTTGAGAAATGAACAACATCCTCACTGTTTTCTTATAGGAGTTGGCAAAAGTAGATTTGATTTGAGAAATGATTTGATTCAACTTAAATTTCATACATTCGATTCAATTAAAAAGTTTCACATAAAGTTCGAATGACAAAAATGATTCATCAACTTAACTAAGATGAAATTTTTTAACTCGAATCAACTCGACTAATCGAATATTGAATCCAAATTTGTCCTACTCCTAATTTCTTCATATTTTAAGTTTATCTTTATCAAATTTAAATCACAGACTCCTCTGATATTATAAATATCTATATAACCTCAATTTTTATTTTTAACAACAATTTTTTCTTTTTTTTTCTTTTCTTTTTTTGCAATTTAATTTCTCATAATTACATTTTATTCAATTTATTTTTTTATTATAATTTTTTTACAAATTATTTTTTCATTAATTCCTTGATTCTATACTCTTATCAATGATGTTGCCCCAAATTGTATTCTTTAAAAAATTATAAATATTTTTAGATGAATTTGATTTATCAATGATTTAGGACTGTTGGATGAGTGAAAATAGATGGTTGAGATTAACAGTAGGAAATGAAATATTCACTGGAAAAAAAAAACAAAGAGTCAATCTCAGCTATCTATTTTCACTTATTTAACGATTCTAAATTTAAATAAAACTAAAAAAAATTACATTATGTAATTAGATCATAACCTTATATATATTGTATGATTATAAAAAATTGTTAAATTAAACCAATTTAATTCTCATCATAACAATATGAATATTTACAATTAAATTTCAACATAAACTTCAAAACTCCAACTCAAAATTTTATAAAAATAGTTACCCTTATTTTCTTGCATCCACAACATTAAATGAATTTAGTGCTCGATTTAAAAGCACCTGAATCCTCGCCGATTTATTAAGTTGACCGCTGATTTGTTGTCTTATAATGACACCTAATTTTGGACTGCATAAACTTACTTTAAGCTTAGTATTAAAATAACAAAATTTAAATTATTATATAAATTTTAAAATAATTTATTATATTATAAAAATAATATAAATTTAAACTTAAAATTACTAAGATGGACAAAAATTAAAATATAATATATATTCAAAACAATTCATATTCATTGATTTAAATTATATGAAATAGTGTACGAACCAAGTTACCTAAGTGATAGAGACGGAGTTTAGTGAGGGCTCAAAAGGACCTCGACCCCGTTAAAATTTGTATATTCAATATAATTTTGGTTTAATGATATTTTGATTCATGTAAAAATAAATATTTAAATTAAAAAATATAAAAATTTATTAAATATTTAATCAAGTAATGACCGAACTAAAGAATGATAACCCAATGTTCTCAGAATTTTTGATCTAATAGCAATTTAGGTCATTGTAAGTTTAAATATTGGACAAATTAGATGTTATATTATGAATTTTTAATTTTTTAATAAATCTAGGGTGAGTACGGTAATATAAGTACAAAGACTCTCAACTATTTGACAATGAACTCTCATACTCCTACATACGTAATGCTTAAACTCGAGACCTCAAGGATAACAACAATCCCTTAATCACTAAGGTCCTTTGGTTCGTGCTGAATTTTGAGTTTAAATATCTAATAAGTTTTTGTATTTTTCTTAAATAGTCTAATATTTCGGCCCCTGTCAGTTTTTGCTAAGTGATTAAATGAATTGTTGTTATTCTTATAGGTCTCTAGTTCGAGTCCCAGAAATTGTAGGGTATTTGAGCGTTCATTGTCAAATGGTTGAGAGTTTTTAAGTAAGATCAAAGGTTCAAATCGTGACAATTGTGTATGGAGCAAACCGGGTTAGGAAGATCGTCCTATATGAGAATCCGATCTGGATTAATCAATTAAAAAATAATATTATTGATTTAAATTATATGAACGGTTGAAAATTATCAAGTAAAATAATTACATATTAAACGTGACAAAAATAATACTTAAAGGGGCCATTATTCCAGAGTTGGTAAAGCAGGGCATAGTGTTATTAAATAAACATTAAAATATGTGCTAAGGTGTGGGCTGTTGAGTAGGGGTGTGAAAAAAATTTGATCCGATAGATTCGATCCGTTGATCTGATCCAAAAATTTGTATATCCTATCCATTTTTCAATTTTTGGATAGTTCGAATCGGGTATCCAAAATTTTTTCGGATTATCAGATTGGATACGGATCGATAAAAAATCATGTTCGGATTATCCGAAAACCCGAAAAAAAATTTGGGCAGTATCGGTACTGCCTTAGCAATATCGTTACTACTTAGTTAAAATTGAGTTTTTAGCTCGATTAAAGTTCGAAATCTTTAGTAAAAATTATTTCAAAAATATTTCCAGTATAGATCTCAATTTTTCATTTGAGTAAGGAGTAAAAATTGATGTTTTAAACTTTAAGTAATAAATATATATATTTAAATAATTAAATCGAATATAATCTTAAAATTTATAAAAATTAATTAACAAATTTGTTTGGTATATTAAAATAACAAAATGTTTTCAACAATTGTGTTGTTAATGTACACTACTTTATGTTATTTAACATTTAGGGGACTATTTTATTGTACTATGTTATTTAAAATTTTAATTGTAGTGGGACATGTAATTACATAAATAAATTGTTGGAAACAAGTAAATATGAATATTTTAATTTATGTTAATTTTTTAAAAAAAATCGGATTCGGATTTGGATATTTAGATATCCGATCCGAAATTTCGGATATTCAATTTTTTCGAATCAAATATGGATCATTATTTTAGGTATTCGAAATTTTCAAATATCTAAAAATTTGGATCAAATAATATTTGATATCCGATAATATACACCCTTACTGTTGAGATGCCTTGAGTGATACAAAAATAGATAAAAGTAAATAAATAACCCTTCATTATTTGACATTAAATGTTCGTATTTTTGAATATCTTTTGTGGTTGAATTTGAGACCCAAAAAATAAAAACCTAATGAGATTATTTGATTCGTGTTACTGTCTCTTTTTGTAAACATAATTAGTCCAAAAATAATTTGTGAAATCATTTTTATATTATATTAATAATAGAAATCTTTAATTCTATATGAACAAATAACTAAAAATCACCATATAACATATTTATTTAAGTTTAATCTTTAAATAAAAAATAAAGGAGTTTCTTAATTTAACTTGTGAAATTAAAATTAAATTTTAGTATATTAAATAATTATTCTTGAACCCAATGAGTCCATCCTAAATGATGTTTTTAAAAAGAGGTCTTTAAAATATTTTATATTAGGCATTGTTTCAAAGATAGCCTTCAACTTTTATAAAAAATGTCATTTTATCTTTTTTTAGAGCATTTTGTCTCCTAACATTTTAATTTAGGACAAAAAAATCACTCTATAAATGAAAGCTATTAATTAACACATGATTAACATTTCCAAAGAGAACTCTTTTTAACCTAAAATCAAACGTTTAGGACTAAAATGCCCTATAAAAAATAATAAAGGACAAAGTAATTATTATGTTAAATGTTATGATACTTTTTACCCTAAAATGAAACGTTAGAGATAAACGTTGGAGGTTAATTTTGACATTATGCCTTTATAATAAATATTAATTTGTCGAATTTAAAATTATGAGGGATCTACGAGGCTTTTTTTTATCAAAATTCATAATGAAAAATGATTAAAGATGTTATCAAAATCTTCATTTGTAATTTTCTGATGTCTTTTTTTCGAGAATTAAACAAAAATTTGATCAACGAACCTAAACGGCATTCATTGTAGATCCTCAAATTTTAAAATCGTATAACGTGTGATAAGCTACACTTATATATGAACGAGCATGAATCCAAACTATCTATAGACCACTTTTTAGGACATAATTAGTTGCCATGAAACTACCATTATTAACCAGTAATCCACTGTCTTCTCTAAGCCGTCATCTGCGAAAATAATTATATATGGCAAGCTAACTAAGACTAATAATTACTTAATAATTGAAAAAATAATAAAAATGGAAACCCCTAAAATTAACAATTGAGAAAACCCGTATCCCGGAAAAAAAAAACTGAATAAAAATAAAGCACACATCCCTAATTAAGACAAAGGGCAAACTACACTGGAGATCCTTAATATACTCATATAATCTTTTAGTCACTGAGCTTTTAATGATTATAAAATAATCATTAAATTTGCCAAATTATTATAAAATAACCATCTCAATGCTTTTATGATCATAAAGTTTAATAAATTTAATGAAATATTTTGTAACATTTCTATAAATTTAATGGTCATTTTGTAATGTTACATAGAGGTGAGTATTCAATCGAATTGAGTTGAGTTGAGTCACAAAAAATTTGAGTTAGTTGAGATGATAAGTCAAATTTTATAACTCAATTTTTATTTTAATTTTTTTTTTAGTTGAGTCGAGTTGTTCATGTTTCTGTTTAAATTTAATTGTAAATATTTATATTATTATAGTACTAATTAATTCTAATTTAAACAACTTTCTATAATTATATTTGATATATCATGTAAAGTTGAGAGACTCAACTCAAACTTGAAAATCAATTCACTAATTACTAAAAATTTTGAGTTATTCGAGTCTTATTTTATAATTCAAGCTTGAAAACCAATCCACTAATTACTAAAAATTTAAAGTTATTCGAGTCTTATTTTATAACTCAAACTTAAAAACCAATCCACTAATTACTAAAATTTCAAGTTATTCGAATCTTATTTTATAACTCAAACTTCATTTGAAATTTATTGGAGTCGAGTCGAGTCAAAATATTTAGCTTTTCCGAGTCGAGTTTTGTTTACTCCTACTTAAAATGATCATTTTTGTAGCAGTTTGATAAATGTAAAGCTTAATATAAAAATAAGTGTCCAAATTATACCTAAAGTTAACTTTAGGTGCCTAAAGAATTTTTCGTTAAAAATAAGTGCCTAACATTTTTAACATTATACTTTTAAGTGTCTGGACTGTTAGCACCTTTAAGTAACA